TTTTTTTTTTTTACTTTTTGATAATTAGAACAAATTCTAGACGTATTGGTAGAAAAATTATCACTTTAATGGACAATTTTTATAAAAAAATGAAGTCAAACGGACACCAAACTTTCAACATTTTTCAGGTAAAAAATTATATCAATCAAACACGATTAATTACAATTCCCAGTAAAATAATTTTTAGGCAATTCAATTCCCTAAAATTCATTTTCTTTCCACCAATTTTCCACATTCACAATCAAACGACCCTAATATGTATGGACAAATAAGTATAAAGAAATGAAATTTTTCTTACCAAAAATGATTAGGTGATGGATATGTGGGGTAGGGTAGGGTAGGGTAGGGTAGGCGAAGGACATATTGATGTATTTTCTTTATAATTTTTTTCCTTTTATTATTTCTGTTTTTTAATTATTTTAAATGATATAATTGTGGAAACACATTTTTGCCCTTCCTTCAAATTAATCAAATTTTGTTTGATGGGTGACTTATAAGTCAACTAACGATTTTGGTGGAAATCATTCATTGGACCTCATGCTACATGTTAATTAAAGATTTGGTAGTATGGTTATAAAAAATGAAAGGTTTGGAAGTGTCGGACTTAAGTCCCATTGGTGTCAAATTCCTGTTTTGCAAGCATCCATCCTTGTCAACTCATCTTATTAAGGTCAGTGAGAAATTGATACAAATAACACAATATCTGATGGCATAACATTCGACCTCACCATAGAGGAATTGGTTCTAAAGGGTAAAGTACTAATAATAATTGTCAATGACATTAAATTCTACCACGATCTCCTTGGCCAAGTTCGTGGGCGATTCTAGTGGATTACCACAGCGGTCCGGGGTCAGCCCATGACCAGGGGCGGACCCAGACGATTCGCATTGTGGGGTCAAAAATGAGAATTTCAAAATATCATATCATTAACGAAAATAAACCGATAATCTATGACAATTGTAGCCTACGCATTTTCATACTCTGAAAACGTTGTATAATTACATCATTATCAATATTGTTAAGTACATCGTTTTCTATATATGCAACCAAACTATCACTTAACCATTGATCTCCCATCTGCCTACGCAATCGATTTT